GGTACTTATTTAATCAGATTATATTAGAATTACATGAACTAATTCATGTCATGACTTTGGAGTAGTGCCTGGAGCATAGTAATCACTCACTAATGTTAACTTCTGTTATTAATATACTCCTGTCAATATCATGCATTAATGCCTTCTTTCAGTCACTTGACCCCCTTAGATACTGTTGTCCTCAGTTTTCTTCCTTTTTATCTGCTCAGTGATATGAAATTATATGAGAAAAATGGAATGTTATTGGTGAATAGTGGAATCATATATTACAGACATCTGCTAAAGACTTGCTGTATCACTCTCCTGGGCTGTGAAAGGGAAAAGACTTAATGCCATTCCTAAGCCTTCCATATTGTTGGAGAAAGATACAGGGAAATAGGAAATGATAATGTAGCGTCATAAATGTGGTCTGTGATGGAGATTACTCCAGTGTGCTGTGGAGGATTCAGATATCTAACCCATACTTGGCAGAAGACGATGCCTATGGTTGGCTTTGTTTTTTTGTCTGTTTTTTTTTTTTTTTTAATTGTGCTACCAGATCAATTGCTTCTGAACAGTTACTTTTGTTTATCCCTACCAATTCTAATTCTGAACATCCCTTAAGAAAAGTTATATTCTGTGTTAATAATAATTAGAGTGATATGTTCCATTTCACTCAAGTCTACGTTAACTGTAAGTACAGATAGTTTAGAATCTGTCAAAATCAGTCTGCCCAAAACTTGAGCTTCTAACCTTTCCACTTCCTTATGTTTCCCCTATCATAGTTAATATCATTCATGTTTGCTTGGATCCAAAACTTGGGAGGCACATTTTCTTTCTCTCTCACTTCACATACGTTCTATCAGCAAATCCAATCAGCTCTCTATGTAAAATGTATCCAGTGTTTACATGTTCCTTTTTCCTTACATGCATCTCCAAGCCACCATCACTGTAAAAAAAATACAATTCAGTGATTTTTAGTATAGTCACAAAGTTATGTGACTATCACTATCATCTAACTTCAGGGCATTTTCCTCAACCAACAAAGAATCCCCACACCCTGTAGACTGGCAGTTTCTCTCCATTCTCCCTTTCTCTCGCCTGTGGCAGCTGCCAGCCTACTTTCTGTTTCCCAAAATTGCCTCTTCCAGACATTTTATATAGATAGAGTCATACCATATGTGGCCTTCATGTCTGGTTTCTTTGACATAGCATAATATTTGAAGGTTCATCTATGAAGAATCAGTACTACATTCCTTTTTATAGCTAAATAATATTCCGTTCCATGGATGTACCACATTGTTTTTCCATTCTCTGCTTGTCTTTGAAACTTTGAACTTTGATTTTGTATTGGGGTATAGCTAATTAACAATGTTGTGGTAGTTTCAGTTGCACATCTGGTTGTCTTTGAAATAATAATTGGAGTTAGTCTAAAACACACTTTGGACTGAAGAAAAAGTGTAAACACCTGATATCATAAGAGAGCATGATTTAATATGTCTGAATGAAGAAATGTTTTAAAGAAAATAAAGCAATGGAGAGGGGGAGGGCAAAACAACTGAATTGTTAGAATCCACAGACTCCTTTATAAGGTCCTGTAGAAGATGGCTTCACATGTAAATTTTAGCAAACCATTTTTTGTTTGTTTGTTCTGTTGTAATTAATTTTTAATGGAGTATAGTTGTTTTATAATGCCATGTTAGTTTACTCTCTATAGCAAAGTGAGCCAGTTATGAATTCCACCAAACAGAGCGATGTTAACACCTTTGCTTCTGAAACTACTGGAGAAAATTGCAGAGGAAGGAACATTTCCAAACTTATTCTGTGAGGCCAATATCATCCTGATACAAAAACCAGACAGGTACCATAAAAAAAGGCCAGTATCAATAAGCCAGTATCATAGACCAGTATCAATGATGAACATTGAGAAATCCTCAACAAAATACTAGCAAACTGAGTGCAACATATTAAAAGTCTTAAGACTCCACACTTCTACTGCAGGGAGCATGGGTTCAGTCCCTGGTCAAGGAATTAAGGTCTCGTATGCCTCATGGCACAGTCAAAACAAACAAGCTGATAAACATTATGAGGATCCTACACCATGATCAACTGGGATTTATCCCAGGGATGCAAGTGTTTTTCAGTATATATAAATCAATCAACATGATACTTGAACCACATTAACAAAGAATAAAAGCCATATGATCATCTTAATAGATGCAGAATGCTTTTGATAAAATTCAATGTCCATTTATGATAAAAACACTCTAGAAAGTGGACATAGAAGGAACATCTTAACATCATAAAGGCCATACGTGACAAACCCACAGCTAACATCATACTTACTGGTGAAAAGCTGAAAGCATTTCCTCTAAGATCAAAAACAAGACAAGAATGACCACTCTCTCCACTTTTAATCAAAACAGGAAATCCTTACCACAGCAATCAGAGAGGGAAAAGAAATGAATTCAAATTGACATTGAAGAAATTAAACTGCCACTGTTTGCAAATTATGTGATGCTATTCATAGAAAAATCCTAAAAATGCTACCAGAAAACTACTAGAGTTCAACAGTGAATTTAGAAAAGTTGCAGAACACAAAATTAATATACATAAATCCGTTGGGGTGTATATACACAATGGAATACTACTCAGCCATAAAAAGAAGGAAATTTTCCCATTTGCAGTAACATGGGTGGACTTGAAGGGCATTATGCAAAGTGAAGTCAGAAAGGACAAATACTTAATGATACCACTTATACGTGGAATCTAAAAAATACAACAAACTAGTGAATAAAGCAAAAAAGAGGCAGACTAGCAGATACGGAGAGCAGACTAGTGGTTACCAGTGTAGGGGGAGGTATAAGCTATTGGATGTAAGATAGGCTCAAAATGTGTTGTAAAACATGGAGAGTAAAACCAGTATTTTGTAATAACTGTAAATGGAAGGTAACACTTTAAAATTACGTTAAAAAAAAGTTCTGTAAAAAGTGGTAAGAAATTTGGATGTAATTTTAATCTATATAAATTTATTAAAATTTCCTCCATTCCAATTTAGGGCTTTTAAAAATTACTTAACATACTAAATCTAATTGTAAGATTGAAACAGGAGAAATCCAGATGGGTAGTTTTCTGTTTTTATAAGATAATGGCTTTATTAGGTTTGCATTTTAATGTAATAGACAGGTTAAAAGCCTTTAGGAGAGTTCTTTAATCAACTTTTCTGCACATTTTTTTGTTGCTTAAAGTACTGGAAGTAATTGACATGGATTTTCTAACAAGTATTGGCATGCTTCTAATGTTCAAAGCTTTTAAAAGAAGGTATAGTGAAATACTTCAATGTATTTTTCAGTTTCCAGCATGACCTCAGAAAATAACAAATGGATTGGGGCACTTATACATATGAAATTCTCTTTGAAATATGATGATAATAACATTAAGTGGATAGAGGCTTAGGTTAGAAGCAGATTGGGCTAATGAAGTTCAAAAATAGAAACTATTTTTGTTTTTTGTAAAGTGGGTATAGTACCACACAATCTTGAAACATCATCTGATATGACCTACTCCTATTAGATAATTAAAAGTCTAAAACTGTTCATTTTATTCTGTATGCTAATGTGATAGTTATACTATGTATAAACGTATAGTCATTCCCATGCACAATATTTATAATGTGTGTTCTTTCTCATAGACAATGGCAAAATGATTATCCTTTTAATTTCTGAAAAATGTTTGTCACTGGCAATTTTTTACTTTCTTTGGAAACCAATTTAATAATACTTAAGAGAATCCAGTCTTACATAGATAAGGAAACTCGGTCTGATGAAGATATATGACCTGTCCAGGGGTACATAGCCATTTGGTTTAGGAACAGGGATTCTGTTTATTCATTAAATATTTTTTAGAGCCTATTTCATAAGACAGTCCCCACTTTCAAGCAGTAGTGTTTAGCTAGAATGGTGGTGGAATTGGAAAGGGAGGTGAAAACAGAGGATAGAGGACATATGTGGCATGACAGATAAGAAAACAAATAATTTCATCTGGATACTAACTACATAGAATTAAGATGTGCATGCACAGTCCTTTGATGACACAGATGGGAGGATCATGGTGCTGATTGACTTAGTGGCAGATCCAGAACTATATTTCCCAACTCTTAGTCCAAGGTTTCCTTTTTGTTTCTGCTATTGTCACTGTTTTTCTGAGCAAGAAAAAAATTTAAATTATTATTATAAATAATTATTTATGATTAAATTATTGTTTTATTGTTAATTGTATGTGGCATTAAAATTGACCATATTATATATACCTCTGGATTTGGTAGTAAAAATAATTTGTAGATTGGTATCTTATTTATTTGGGATTTTCTTATATTTTTATTAAAATTGAATTTACTTTGATTTTATACTCCTGAGAGATTGCATCATATTTTTAAAAATTATCAAACTTTGGTTTTTGTTTAATTTTGTTCCTACTGTTCTTTTTAACCAAAGAGATTTGAATTGCCATTCTAATAAAAATATAGTCTTAAGATTCCTCATTGGCGAACAGTTTATTTTAATATGCATTCATTCCTAATACTTAATTTTAAAATTTAAGGTTAATTAGGGTTAGCTGTACTAGTCTTTTGGATGTTCTTAATGTGTTTTTCTTTTTTAAATGTTAATTTCTAATAGGTGTTATTCTGAAATCATTTTAAAACTGAAGAAAGATATTTTTAAAAATTTATATAGTATAGTTGATTTACAGTGTTGTCTTAATTTCTTCTGTACAGCAAGGCAACTCAATTATCCATATAATATTCTTATATTCATATTCTTTTCTATTATGCTTTATCATAGGATGTTAAATACAGTTTCTTGTGCTATGTAGTAGGACTTTGTTGTTTATCCATCCTTTATAAATTAGTTTGCACCTGCTAATCCCAAACTCCCATCCTTCCCCACCCTTATTGGCAGCCACAAAGCTTAGAACAGGAGAAAGATTTTTATGCTGCCTTCTGTTTTTCCATTTTTTTTTAGAAATCGAAACGAGTTGGCTGAGACTCTTGCACTCCTGAAAGCACAGATTGATCCTGTACTATTGAAGAACTCTAGCCAACAGGACAGCTCTTCCCGGGAAAGCCCCAGCTTAGAAGAAGAGGAGACTAAAAAGGAGGAAGAAACAACTAAACAAGGTTTTTTTTGTGTGTTTTGTTTTTCTTTGTTTTGTAATTTCTTCTCTTTTCCACTCTTCTTCCCACCTATATCAGTTGAATTTCCCTCAGTTTGAAAAGTTTTAATTCTTCCTGTTAAAGGAAGTAGATGTTTCTATCATTTAATGAAAAAGAAAAAGAGGCAAAAAACCATTGAGTACTTTGGTCTCTTATACTGAACATTTAAAAAATTTACATAAAAGTGTTCCAGTCATCAAAACATGATATCTTTTACTAATTTAAGAATACAAAGAATATTAGTGAACTTTAAAAAAATTATTGTGCTAAAATATACATAACATAAAATTTTATCATTTTAACCATTTGTAAGTGTTCAGTTCTGTGGCATTAAGTTCATTTGTATTGTTGTGCATCTGTCACCTCCATTCATCTCCAGACCTACATCCTCCAACTGAAACTGTGTACCCATTAAACACTTAACTACCCTTTTCCCCTCCCCTTAGCCACAGGCATCCATCATTCTACTTTCTGACTATGAATTTGGCTAACTCCAGGAACCTCACTTCAGAGAAATCATGCAATATTTGTCCGTTTGTGATTGCCTTATTTCACTGAGCTTAATGTCTTCAGTATTCCTCCATATTGTAGCATGTATCAGAATTTTTCTTTTTTAATGTTGATAATCTCTTGTGTGTGTCTACCACATTTTATCTATTCATCTGTCACTAGACACTTAAGTTTCTTCTACCTTTTGTCTATTATAAATAATGATGCTATGAAAGTGGGTGTACAAATATCTGCTTGCACTTCTTTTGGGTATATGCCTGGAGTAGAATTTTTGGATCAGATGATAGTTCTGTTTTTAATTTTTGAGGATTTGCCATATCGTTTTCTACAACTGCTGCACCATTTTACGTTCCTATCAGTTCTGCATAAGGGTTCCAATTTTTTCACATCCTACACATCACTTGTTTGTTTTTTTTTTTAAACAATAGACATTCTAATAATGTGAAGTGGTATTTATGGTTTTTGGTTTGCATTTTCAAAATGACCAATGATGTTGAAGACTTTTTCATGTTCATATTAGTATGTGTTGTTTGGGAGAATATTTAAGTCCTTTTTTAAGTAAGCCCATTTTTAAATCGATTTTGTATGTGTGTGTGTGTGGTGTGGATTGGTTTTCTTTTTTTGTTTTGGGTCACCCTTAGCAAATTCTTAAGTCTGTGATAATTATGACTTGATTTCCTGATTGACTTTTTTAATACAGTTAACTGAGCAGATCAAATCCTAACCTTTTCAGAAGATCAGAACCCAAGTCCTCACTTTTCTAGAAGCAGAGAAACCAATTGAAGTTTTGTCTAACATCGTTTGGTTAATACTTTTTCTTGATAACATGCCTTTTAATGACAAGGTATAGAATTTGCTCTCTTTATTGTCCTTTCTTCCTCTACTTTTAGTTTTCCTTTACTGTTTCAATTAGAACCTGAAAATAGTATGTTCTTACCTTGTTTGCTGCTTTGAGGAAACTAATCATAAAGTCATCCCCTAGCTGCAAGCATTGCATAAAACCAAGTAATTTTGCCTTTTAATGTAGGGTATAATGTTTGTACATACCAATATTTCTTTTAGCAAAAATCCTGATTATTCTCCTTTTACTAGTGATTATATGATTTAAAATATCTTTGGTGGTTTTAATCATGAGCCATATTTCTGATTTGGCAAATTCTTTTCTATATCCTAAAATTCAGTTTGTGACGGTATCAGTAAAACTTAATAATTTTTAAAGTAGTCTAAACCCACTTTTGAATTTTCAGATTTTTTAAAATTGAAGTTTAATTGACATACAATTTTAGATTTGTTTCAGGCATTATAACATAATGATTTGACATTTGTATTTGTTGTGAAATGATCACCTCCTTTAGAAAGCAAAGAGGAAAGGAAGAAGAAAAGAAAACCCTTTCATGGTTAGAGAAACTGTTGAAATTTTCTTTTCTGATTAAATTTGTTATGACTAGAATCAGCAGGTGAAAATTTAAGTTGTCATTCATAATTTTTGGAAAGTGTCAGTGGAATGGTTTTTGACTGTCTATAGATTCCCCTATAATAGGAACATATTGATAGCAAAAGTAAAAAACTGTAGTATCTGAAACTAAGATCTTAACAGAACTTGGGTACTCTGGGCGTTATGATGTCTCAAACCTCTCCAGCCGAAGATCCCTTCCAGAACTAAACTCCAGACAGAGCTTCGTGCAGTCTGCTGGGAATAGGATCTAAATTAAATAGAACAGGGACAGTAGAGACAAGTTTAAAAAAAAAGATTCAAATGAAAGTATAGGAGAGGTCTAGAGTTATATAATCTCATAAAGTAACTCACTTTAGTTTTTAATATGAAAAATGCAGAGCTTGATAGCAGTAAAATTAGAAAAACTATCTACTTGACTTAAAAATGACTAGCTAAAAAAGATCAAGACCAAATCCCATAGAATTATAATAATGAAAGAAAATAAGAAGCATATGAACATCACTGCAGAAATGAAAACTTAACCAAAAGACATTCTCACTAAAGGTATGAAAACACTAACTGAAGAGGTGGCAGAGTTAATGATTTTTTCAAAAATCCATAAATAATATCTGAGTCAACAAACGCAAGAATTAGTGCCCTTAAAAAACAGCAGATGACCCATGCCTGAGGGGAGCGGAGCCGGAGACCAGACTAGATGGCCGGGCTGCCCCCACAGGATTATTAAGGAAACCCAGCGTTTGCTGGCAGAACTAGTTCCCAGCATTAAAGCAGAACCAGATGAGAGCAACACCCGTCATTTTCATGTGGTCATTGCCAGCCCTCAGGATTCCCCCTTTGAGGGAGGGGTTTTTAAGCTTGAACTATTCCTTCCAGAAGAATATCCAATGGCAGCCCTTAAAGTACGTTTCATGACCAAAATTTATCATCCTAATGTAGACAAGTTGGGAAAAATATGTTTAGATATTTTGAAAGGTAAGTGGTCCCTGGCACTGCAGATTCGCACAGTTCTGCTATCGATCTAGGCTTTGTTAAGTGCTCCCATTCCAGATAATCCATTAGCAAATGATGTAGCGGAGCAGTGGAAGACCAATGAAGCCCAAGCCCTAGAAATAGCTAGAGCATGGACTAGGCTATATGCTATGAATAATAATTTAAATTGATTCGATTGTCAAGTGTGTATCACTTCTGTTCTCCCAAGACTTCTTCCTTTTTTTGTTTGCATTTAATGGATACAGTCTTAGAAACTACAGAATGAAAACCCAGGCATCTTCAATCCTTCGGTGATTAAATGCACATTAGCAAATCTATGTCTTGTCCTGATTCAGTGTTGGAAAGCATGAGTAGAGGCTATGTCTGGATTGCTGCACAACATTTAAAAGCAGTGGCCCCTCTCTGCTTTTATTCGTTTCCCATCATGGTTTAAGTATAAAGCACTGTGAATGAAGGTAGTTGTCAAGGTTAGCTGCAGGGGTGTGGGTATTTTTTGCATTTTATTTTATTTTTTTTTCGGTGGGGGGAAGGTAGTTTTATTTTAATTTTATGGGCTCCTTTCCCCCTTTATATGGTGATATAAGTGCATTGGTTAAAAGCAGCTAACCATTTCTTTAGACTATGCTCTCTAGTCAAGTCTAACTTTATTTAGATGCTGTAGATGGACAAGCTTGATTGTTTGATCCAAAATGGGAACATTAAACAGACATCACAGCCCTCACTAATAACTTTGTGACCTTGCTGTCAAGTGTAGAATCTTCCCTTCAAGAAAAAGCTTGTGACCATTTTGTATGGCTTGTCTGAAATTTTCTGTAAATCTTATGTTTTAGTAAAATATTTTTGTTACTCTAAAAAAAACAAAACAGCAGATGGAATGTTGTCTGTTTTTAAAAATAAAAGCAAGTCAATGAAGGTTTGAGAAAAAGAGATAGAGTTGAAGATATGCAATAAAAATCTTACAGAGGTCCATAAAAAAGAAAACCAAAGCAAGGAAACAGACAAAAATACTAAAGACTATGCTTAACATAACTTCTTTTTTAAAATTTATTTATTTTTAATTGAAAGTTAATTGCTTTACAGTATTGCATTGGTTTCTACCAAATACCAAACATTGTTTCTACCAAACATCAATATCAGACTGACATGAATTAACCATAGGTTTACCCATGTCCCCTCCTATAACTTCTTGAAATAAAAAAAAGAATGTAAGACTACATATTTTAAAGACACTAAAGACCTTGGAAAATCACCCCAGAAAAACCAGCATCAAGACATATTCTAGTAAAACCCTTCAGCTTTGAAGAAAATACTTTGGCAATCTTGACAGAAAGACCAGGTGATTTATAGAGAAAAGAATATCAGACTGCCATCACTATATTTGAAAGCAAGGCCTTATGCCAGAAGAAAATGCCATAACATATGTAAAGGGAAAAAATGTGAACCAGGGATTTTATGACTAGCCAAAATGACTTCTAGACAGAGACTTCATGTAAACTGCTATCGATATCTAAGATCTATTTTCTATGAGTCCTTTTATAGGAATCTTCTAGTGAATGAGCTTCAGATAGCCAAAAAGACTTAACAAAATCTCAGTGGTGGGTGATATGGAAATAAATATAATTATATTCATTTGTATGGCTTTATACACACACACACACACACACACACACACATACATACACACACACATATATTTCCTACCTCTGTTCATGAGAGGAATCTGAGAACAGTGATACCCCAGTAACAGTGAGCACTCTTAACCTCAAGATTTTCATTTTAAAATATCATTTTCTACTAAAAGGAACTAGTGCCCCATAGAGACAATTGCTTTAGGGGATGGGCAAGAAAAATACAAGATAAGCTAGAATATTTTAGAATGCCAGAAATTAAGGATGTACTCAGAAAATAATTTGAGCATCTCAGTGGGACCCAGTGCTGACTGGAAAGAGCTCTCAGTGGTGAAAGCAGAACTGTTTCAGCAACAGATTTATGCAGCGACAGATTTTAA